AAAAACTGGAAGAAAACTATCAATTGTATTCAATTGCAAATCTTTTTTTATTAATAATAATAATAAAGTTCAAAATTATTTTAAAAAATTAAGTAATCCAGTATGACTGCAGTATTTGATTAACTTCTAATTACAAATTTTTAAAATAAATCAATAGAATCGTATCACTTTTATGCATTTCACTAATGTTAAAGCCTAATGTTTCTCCGCTATTCCAGTTAAATGGAATGTCACACTGTACTGAATGATGTGACAATACCAACGACTACTTCAATGGTTTGAGGGTCGGCTCGAACACATTTCTGAAAAAGATATCTGCTTTCAATCAATTTCATAATCATCGAGAAGTCAGTTAACACTTGTCTGTTTTGATTGTGGTTTGAATTACAGACGAATTGCTATGTATGTAATGCAGTGCTGTAACAGATTTTACTCTCTAGCAATTGCGTTCCACAAAATATTAATCTGTATTATAATATATGGTAATTTCGTATAGGTGTTGTCTATGAGTATGGGATGAAGCGGAAAAAATAAACAAAAATAAGCAAAGGATCTTAATGAAGGAAATTATGCTACCAGCCGAATTAGCGCCTACTTTTATTAGAAACTGACTTAGTTAATCGTTTGAACTCATTTTGTAGTGGGAATTGGCTTACAACAAACCGTATTATTACAGTTAATAAAAAGCAATCAGTCTTTAGCTATGTAGTAGAAGTAGCTTAGTGATATTACGTCAGTTGCTTATAAGAATGACTGTTAAACTGGAAGTTCTCTACAATATTTCAATATTGCAAGTAGGATTAGTTTATAACAAAGAAAGTTAATTGCACAATAAAATTGGGAGCAATTTTCTGCGTATTGAGCAATGCATTTTTTGTCAAAAGACTGTAACACTCTAAACAATGCTGATAAGCTTAGTTCCATTTTTTGAAGGATTAATGACGGATAAATGATTTCTCATTTGAGATATAAAATTGAAGCACTTTTATATTTGTATAAGGAATATTTAAATAAGACAATCTTTAGTTTTATGGATTAAATACAAATTGGCAATGAACAGCAGATGAACATTTAATAATAATAAACAATTGATGGAAATGATGAGAGTTATATATATATATATATATATGCTTCAATTTCATTCAGTATTTTAATTTTTCAACATTTCAATATATTCAAAGGCTTTTAACTTCTTTGTATGGATGAAATATTTTGCAAAAGAATCCAACATTTTGATTCTCGAATGTTAATAAAAAGCAATATTATGGATCAGAATTAATAGAAACTCCTAAAATTAGTGTAATAAGGAAAAAGCGATCATCAACTAATTTTAAATCACATTTCTATACTTTAAAACAAGCAAATTAATTTACTGCAATACTTCAAGTATCCTGTTATGTTAAGTAAAATTTAACTGAGTAATGAGCTCCAGACAAAATAACATTTGTAAACATTGCTATAATATGTTAAATTCGTTCCATATTTTCTTTTCTTACTTTATGTTCGAGAAATGCGTGTTTTTGTTAATGAATGCTATTTCTTCTTTTTCAGTGAATATTTCAATTAATATAGGCCAAACTCTAACTTTCTGATTCATAATCTGGTTCAGAAAGACGCAGTCCATTTATTTATTTAACTGAAGGATGATAGTTCTGCTAAAGTAATTCATTTCGAATTTGGGACAAGAAGTTAGTTTATTCTTAATAAATAGTTCAATAATGCTAAAATATTATCGATGAAGGAAGAAGGAAAAAACCTTATATTGATTTTCACTGATTTTAAGTTGCAAATGTGCCATCGATTAACACATTACTTTACTTCATTTTGATTAAAAGAAAAACTTTTGCTTCATCCAGAAACTTTTTTTTACTTAACTGTTATCATACAGAAACTTAAAAATTATCCTGTTGAATTGGTTTAAAAAACGCAAAAAAGTCTCTGCATATTATTACCAATTTCAAATTCATTCCACTAAGTATAAATAAAATCAGCAATACAATATGTCCATTTATTCATTTTATTCATATATTCTTTAACATCATTTACAACATCTTTCTTGTAAATAGGAAATCTTTTTCAATAATAAAAGAATGTACTAAGAATATAAAACTTTCATGTTCTCAAATAAAATATTTTTAGAATTTTTCTTTCCATGGCTAGACTATTTTTGAGTAAATTTCAATTTGATTGCGTGTTTTAATCTAAAGTGATTATTTGCAATAACAACATCGATATTCTAACAAATTACTAAATTCAAAACAGAAGAGTAATTATTTTTCAATGAATGTTTTACAGCTCCCCTAACTTACTTTTCAGTAGATGAATAATTAGCAGAGAAATGAAAACTTAAAAAAAAGTGATATCCAAAACAATTTACTGGATATACTATAGTTCTTATATACTATCATTTAAAATTTTCGAAAATATAATTGAACAAAATGATCCTAAGAGATGTTTTGCTAAATACATTTCAACTAGTTTTTGTCCATCTATGCAAAAAATCACAGTGAGATTCCACCTGGTAAATGTAAGAGAAGATAAATGCTAGATGAATATCTTCTGTTATGTTTACTAAGCTGCAGTTAGCATTTATTTATTTTATTTTAAGACTTAAATTTAAAAGTGCTTGAAGTAAATCTGTTTTAGTTGAAGGAATTAGTGGATTACTGCATAAGCAAAGTGTTCGATCAAATGTTGAGCAAGAAATAGAATGGAAATACGACGTTTTCTAGCATTTGCTCTTTTGCGATTTTTATCCGTTTAGATTGTTTTGGTGAAAGCTATAGAATGGAAGGAAATTATTAATTTTTGTATTTTATGGAACGGAAAGTAGTTCAGTCACTCCCTAAATGTGAAAAAACAAAACTGAATAATCCACTTTCTACGTTTTATATTGTTATACCATTTGTCTTCTGAACCAAATTCAATTTTATTTCTTAACTTTGACATCATATCATTCCATTTCTAAGACATGAAATTAACAGAAATTAGAACTCATTGAAAACACACCTGTTTCTGATTTCTGCTGCATTCACATAATTCTGCATCTCGAAAATGCATTACCATTGCTTGTTCTTACCGACAAATGCAGCTTTAGCAACTTGAAAAGGTAATACTGTCTCTTTCCTTCTGGTTCTTTTCTTTTTAGCTGAGTCATGGATCAACTATCTGTTCCCGTTGCATATTGCTCGTTTTTCATGCGCTGGATTTTTTTCTAAATTATTCAAATATTTCTGCTTTTGTTCTTTGATATGCTTACTAGACAGATGGATTGATATATTATTGTTGTAATCAGCCACTAATGTTTTTCAATTATTCAAATATTGGCTTTCATTATGATTAAGTGTAGCAGGAAATAATACATACAAAAGTGATCAACGAAGCATTTGTTTACATTACTTAAAAATAATTCATCACTATCGGATTGTGAAATTTAGTCGTTTATTGAACGATTTTCCTTCTTACCTATACTTTTTTGATTTGAATCCTAAAGTCATTTAGGTATAGTATTTCTTCTTTATTTACAGTTTATGATTAATCATTTATTTCTTTTTCCTTAATGTTATTTTATATTGATTTCGATTGTTCATATATTATTGTCTTTCAATCTTCTCAAAGAAAGGATAGCGGTTATTTTAGCAGAACTTAAGAATCTTCAAAAAACTAAAGTTTGATGAAAATTATTTCGGTATTTATTGATTACTTCGTGAGCAATATATTTTCCAGAACTCGGTTCTCTTATTTACAAAAAGCATCCCTTCAAATATTTTTTTTTCGTTTAAAATTCTTGTTTACTTTAGCCAGTGATAGCTGGAAGATATGATAATAGTGGAAAAGTAGAAGAAAAAGGAATAACTATTGTTGGATCGTGGTCACCTCGTCGAATTACGCAATTCCAGTGATCTTGTCTTGCCAAATAATTTTTCATCGATACATTTAATGTTTTCATGTGAAGAAATGTGAACGAAAAATTGAACAAGTTAGTAAAAACCATTAATCAACAAAATGTTTGTATTGATGATAGCTAGAGAAAGTTTTATTTCAGTTTGATAAAGAAGAGAACTATAGATTGCCAAATATATAGTAATATCAGCAGAAGTTCACGGATCCTAACTTTATTTAAATGTAATTCAGATGAATTTCGTTTGCGGAGACTTTGTAGATGAGAGCTACAAAGGTGATTGATGGTATCGTCTCATCCGAGAGCCATGCTAATACTACTACTTTACCACTAATAGCTTTTATTATTACTGATAAAATTGGTGTATTGTTGTTGGCTAGAAAAAGTTTCATTCTGTTTTGATAAAGAAAAAAAAAAACATAAAACATGAGAGTCTCAAAATTTCTTCAAAGTTTCGAATGCTCATTCATACGTTCAATGCTTTCACTGCTGATATACAATATATTAATTATTAATAATGTCCTAGATTTTTTTTTAGTCTTAGATAATATTTTGTTTTGACAAAGTGATCAATTAATACCGTAGTGGTTAGCTCAAAAAGTGATTCCATAGGTAGTTCACAAAGTTTATCAAATTCAAAAGAAACTATTTATGAAGAGTTAATCGTTGAAGCCATAGGTAAAGCATTGTTCAAATCCCTTACTTCTGGACAAATTAAAGCTAACGAACTGGTTATTGAGTAGTCTGCAGTAGTAATGATTTCCTTAGCGATATGGTTTAAGATTCCACATTTTATTACGATGTAAAACATTGATAGTGTCATCTTTGCTCATAAGCTTCTGGATAATATTTTGTTCTGACAAAGTGATGCTGTTTTTGTGAATTTCGAAGGAAATTAAACAATTCCATTAGTAAATGAAATGGTGTAAAACTTCTGATATGAGATGATACAAGCGTAAGAAATCAAGATATGTGAAGTAGGCAGGTTGAATAGTATTTGATCGAAAAACTGATATTATCAATGTTTATTTCAATTAAAACTTTTGCAACATTTATTTATTAAATATGGTTAAAACAACAAAATTTGATTGAGACTAGTTTATAAGTGGCGCCTAATCCGATGAATTTTAATTGATAATCGCCCAGTTGGATCATTTATTCCGGATAAAATACAGCCGATTTGATGAAATGATTTTTTTCTTTGCGAACTTCCTGTACAACTTCCTTCGTACAGCCATGCGCTTCTGTAATTTTCGGCTTCAAAAGATGCAAGCTGCTTGGATTTAATGAAGTTGTGGTCTAATATTCTCTGATAAAATTGTGATTTGCATTGCACTATTATCCACGCGTCAGTTTCAAATTTGACTGGTATTGCAGATCGATCTTAATATTAGTTCTTTTTTTCTACCTTTTCTCTCCTGCAAATTTCCATACGACTAGGGCATTTCTATCTACTGGAAGTATTCGGTCATCTTGATTTACAGCAAATATTTTTGCTTTTTCCTGAGACGTCTTTTGTGCATCGAGAGTAAAATTCGGGTAGTCCACTTTCATCTGATATACGGATTGTTGTTTATTCTTCTCAGGAACCGTATAGAATGCATAAGTACCACTTGGATCCATCTATGAATTTTCATTTATAAATAGAAGATCAGATTTACTGTTGATTTTGGCTTAATGTTCAGAAATTCTATCCCAGAACCCCAGAAACCTAAAGCTCAAATCAGGAAATTTTAGATCAAACTCATTTTTACATTAAGCTATTTCACTCATAGCTCACCTTAAAAGATAATTATTTCATAAAAAAGCTACTTCATTATAAATTATAAGAATAAATTTTCCTACAAGCAATTGCGAAAATTTCATATGAATCTCTTCGGAACGAATCTTCATAATCCGCATCCCGCTGTCGATAGTTTTGATTTGTAACACCTCGTGTCCCTAAATCGATTTAAAAAGTGCAAACTGTGCAAATATTTGAAACTTTGGAAACTATCCTTATTTTTAATAGTTTGTTGTTAGTACTTGCTATGTGTCTGTTCACTTCACTGTGGTTTAGTAGGATATAATACTGCCAGAAATAATTCCATCTTACCGTGTGCAATGAATCATTGTTATTTTGGTGAACGAAATGTAGTAAGCCTCGACCCATATCTATAGTTGTCAAGAAGATATCAGTGTATCCTGATACAAGACGACTAACTTGATCCCGATAGAAATAGCGGAAATGAGTTGGTTGATTTCTCACCGATTGTGCCACGACAATTGTTAATTCTGCTTATTTAAAACTGCATAATGAAACGAGATGTGAAAAATTTTTTTGTTGAATTCTTTCTAACAATTTTAACAAACGTATTTGTCAGTTTCTGGTAGATGAATGAATCTTAGTGTATAATCTGAATTTACTTAACGATTTGAATTCATATTTTACATTTGTTTTGGTTTACGCATTTTTTTAAGTATGTAGAAATGCATGCCATTTTGAATTTTAGCAAAATTTAGTTATCTTGAATCGATCTAGGTTACATACACCATCAATTGAAAGTATCTGTCATAAGTGTATTGTGTCACTGATTCAATGAATCAATGAAAGAAAAAGTTGTTTAAGTACCAACAAGTATTAACAAACAAATAATAAATAATAGATGCTATCATTTGAAAACTAGCAAATTGAATAAAAATGTTCTTGAACCTTTCAGCAGAATATAAAATTTGTCTAGCAAATTCTGGAATATTTAACATCAGAAAAGACAAAAACAATGAGAACAAAAAAGACCGAATTCCTGTAGATCTTACGGTTTGTTGTACTGTCGAAATTTACAATAATAGTAACATTCAGATCTAAACCAATTAAAACCGGATGCATATTACCGAATGAGCATCGAATATCTTGAGCTTGTAGTGCTCTTATTACTGCTGGTTCATGCATTATCACTTTACTTCAAAACAATTTGAAACAATTAATAGAGTAATTTTTAAGAAAATAATGATATGATAGCGACAAATAATTCACTGGAATGAGAGTTCGTGTTAACTTCAATTAACACATTCAGAAAGTATGGAAGAGTTGAGTTTTTAGCATCGAGACGCTCGACATTAGCATTAGCAAACTTTTTTCAAAAAATTTCAGAAAGTGCAAACCTCTGCTTGTAGAAGTGCAAACCATGCAGACTTTGCACAATAGTCAACATATTCTCTACTCGAAAATCAGATTCAATTTTGACCATTGTAGATACACAGGAATCTGCATAACCTACTCCCAAGTAATATTCATAATCTTTCTGATTTAAATATTCCAGCAGCAATGACATATCGCAGCGTAGAGGTGTTCCCTAAATACGACCCTCTTATTGGAAGGCAACATTATTTCACTTGTTATGCAAGTCAAATGTGTTCCTCGACTGTTAAAAACCTTTCAAACGATCTATAAAGAATGAGTTAGAGTATCGTATTTTTAGAATCAAGATGAATATTGCCCCATAATTTGAGCAGTATCAACATCAAAAATAATTAAAAAACCTGAAGCAAGCAGAAAGTAATGAGCCAAAAGATTTGATAAATGACATAGTCATTAACCATTGCAACAGATTAATAAAATATGCAGAAAGAAGACTTACATTCCATTTATATAAGAAGAAAATTATGCAAAATGCTTATAACACATTGTTATTTTATTTTTCGCTGTATCCTAAATAATTAATCAGTTGATTTAGCAAAGGGGGTATAAAGTTCCTGCATTTATCGCGGTCTTTTATTCCCTTTTCCAACCTTTTGCTTTTTATAAATTGCTTGAATCGAAGCTTATTTATGCTCAAGAATATGAGATCTTCACTGATCCGAATTCTTCGTCTTTCCTTTCTCAACAATACAATGTCACTAAAAATGGCGATGTAAAATTAACATAACTTCTAATTAAGCTAAAAATAGTACCCGGCACGTAGCTAATATAAATATTGGTATCAGTATTAAATGAAGAGATTTACTAAGCGTAAATTAACGAATTGTGGGATGGTAATCAATTATAACTGCATGTGTCATGCATCTTGTCTATAGCAAACCCAAAACCAATATGCTTCCATTGTAGTGTCAATACATTAAGGAAGACTTCGAATTATGCAGTTGCACGACGGGAATTCTGATAGATTATTTGCTGTTTAAACAGCCTTTGCTGGGGCAGCAGATATAAAGTTAGATGCTGATACAATAATGATTCTGAAGATGAGGTTTTAATCCTAATGTGATAGCGTACTCATTTCTTCTACTCGCTGGAAAGAAAGATTTTAATCATTGTGTTCCAAATCAGCTTTTTTATTTAGAAATACCAAGCGAAATTTGGCGCCTGAAAGACAACGATGGAACAAAGACGTAAGTTCATGATGGTCGTGACTCAACAATGATCATTAAAAAAGCAATGTTCCATATTATATTTTAGCAGCCGCCTTCATGTCCAAAGAATTTAGGAAAAATTATTATTGAACTATTTGCTGTTTTAAAATATTACAATTGCTTTTTAATTGAATATTTGAGTGTTGATATCTTAAAACTGTATTTAGGAAAATATGTATAATGATTTTACTTCTGGTCACTGCTTTTATTTGTCACTAGTTCATAATGCTGTTAGAAACTCATTTACACTAAACAATAATTTGCAAAGAACGTCTTACACTTTGGATTATGAAATAAACCATTCAATACTGACAACTTGAATTTTAGCAGTGTCATTTAAAAAAGCCATATTTTATTAATGCTATTTTGATCTACAAATATATTGTGATTACCTAAATACAACAATTGAATCAGTTGAGGTTATCTCTGATTTTCATGAAACCCTTCCGTAGACTGTCGAAACTGTTCGGAATTTTTGGACAAAGCTTTTCCAATTTGGACGTATCCAAAGCACAGTTTCCTTTAGTCGTGCAAAGTTCACGATATTTGTCATCATTTGCATCTAATAACTCATAGTGATGGATGTCCGAACAAACAATCTAAAATTATTTGTTACTTAGAAAATAGCTTGTGGTTTTTTCTCTAAAGTTATACATGACGTTAGATCAACCTCCTTATAAAGTTCCAGTATTTGAGAAAAACTGATCGGCTGGGGATTGACTAAATTCAAATTACCACCAACACGTCTTTCCATGAGATCAATTAGTGCTGGTATGCAGTCATCAAGTATTGTTATCGATACTGGGATGTCGAAGATTTGCCTTAAAAACGAATAAACCATTTTTTTTTTTTTGGAACAAAATTAAGTAAAACATAAGCAAAAACGAAAGATGAAAAAAAATGGAAAGTTTAAAGACCCAAATAAAAAAAAATTTTACTTATATCCCAAAATTTTGGTCAACAGATTTCTCTCTTCGTCTAAACAGAAATTCAAAGGTAACGTTATTCGAGCATTTAAGCATTCCTTGATTCCACCGTGATATTGTTGTATCATACGATCAGTGAAACCTTTCACAATTGAATATGAATTTCCGAAAAATGTTGGCAAATCTAAAACTAATCATTAAATAAACTCAAGTAATAGACTTCTTCATATATAATAATTCCTGAAAATATTTTCAATCAGCAATACAATTACACAAATAGATGAAAGATCTTTTCAGCTTACACAAATAGATGAAAGATCTTTTCAGCTCTTCACAAACATTACAACTGTTACCATCACTTACTGCAACAGGACACAACTAAAAGTTGTTTCTAATATACCATCATCAGTAAATCCTTTGCCGCCTATCGGATGCTCCTGATCATATGCAAATATATATCCAGTCCCGACGTAGGTGAAATGCAAACCCAATGTTTGACATATTCTCGCTAAAGTCACCGTTGAGTACAAATTATCTCGTATATTCTCGAAAGTTTGATTTGGTCCTCCTGGAAAAATCTTTGACTATATATTTTGAATGACTCAAATTTTCAGAGCTGAAGAAATTCAAAAACGTATTCATATGAAATCCCAATATTGCTAGTATTTTATTAAATCTGATACAAATCCTCTTAGGTTATTTGAACCTTCTAGATATTCCACTGTTTTGAATTTACCACCGTGCGTTCTTCCCGTACAACACAGTACATGTGTACAGGAAATACCATTTAACTCATCCAAAACCTGAAATAAACTACATCAGTGACTAAAAAAAAAGTTAAACTTCAAACCACCTTCTGCTTATTTGTTGGTAAAAAATCTAAATCTCAGTATGTCATTGATATCAAGCAATTTGAAAACTACACACCTCCTTATCGCTATTCTTTCCAACTCGACACTTGGCCAGCGTAAAATGGATCTTCCGCTCAAGTAATTTCTTACAGCACTGCTGTCCAATCCAACCTTTGCCACCATAAATAACAACGGTCATCTTCTGACTCCTTTTAGGCAGATTTAATGCAGAAACGATAACTCGACTAATGCCTAAAATTGATTGTTTTTCATTTAAAATTCAAACAACATAAGAATTAAGCAACTGGAAGAATAATCTCGCTCAGGAATTTATGGCAATTGAATCAAATCTATCTGCATAAAATACGCTTGAAAACATTTTAGTAGTAATGCGTTTTCATTGAAATTACATATTTGGCAAGGTCAAGTAATGTATTTCAGAGTATATATCTTTACTGAATCAAGAGGCAAAATCCTAGCATCTTTTTGATAAAAATTAAAAAAGAGATCCTGAAAAATGTGTTATAAATAGTATACCCCAAAAAATTACCTTCTTCAAATGACACTTTTGGTGACCAACCAGTATCCAGACTAATTTTACTGTAATCAAGCAGATAACGTAAATCGTTATATGGCCGATCCAGTATACCAACAAATTCCACAGGGGTTAGACTTCGTCCAAGTTGCCGGTCTACTTCCGCTTGTATAACGTGAGCAAGATCAATTACTGCAAAAAATGATAAACTTATAGCGAATCAATCAAGAAGTGATTAAAGAAATATCTAAAGTTTAAAATACCATTCATTTCAAAATAAGTTCCGATGTTGTAAATTTCATGAATTTTTCCACTTTCGACGGCCTTTCGAATACCTTCAGCTGCATCGTCAACATATAGCCATGAACGTAACTGTTTGCCACTACCTTGCACAGTAAATTTTTCCATATTTTTTGCTAATTTAATGAAACGAGGAATTACCTAAAATTGCTTCTAATCATCATCAATAATCTTAAAGGTTCATAGTAGAGATGAGCCTTTCAAACTTTTTCAAATATTTTTTATTGCAATTAATCTGATATTCTAAAAATTTTCTATTTAAGAAAGTCTGAATCAAGAAATCTAATCTACAGATTATTTCGCTTACTGCTACAATATGTTATAAAAAACCTTAACATCCCACTGATTAGGTCCATAGATATTGTTGATACGTAATATAATGATTGGCATTGCAAACAAGTCGCAGCAAATATGTGCATATGATTCACAAGCTGCCTAAAAACAAGCTGAAAGTTTCAGTCTGGTTTTTCTAAAAGTTTCCTTTTAAAATTTTGTTTTCCTCACCTTTGTAGCCGCATAAGGATTTCCAGGCAAAAGAACTGCGTCCTCTATTTTGCCTTTTTCATCTGCTACCAGGTTAGAATCACCGTATACCTTCAAAACAAATAATAAGTCTTATGTAAGGAAGAAACAGTTATTTTAAAAAATAGATAAATTTCATGAAAATTTGAAGAATTCCACAAAATGTATATATTGCGACATTTCCTTGTTTCGACATCAAAAAAAAATAATTGTTGCAAAATAATTTAGTGATTTATTTGGAATATAATAGTAGTTATAATTGTCGGAATTTTGTATGACTTTTAAATCACAAAGCTCTAAAGGCAGATATATCTTACACTATCAAAATCGGAAAGAGCAGGAAATAAACCTCGTCAGTACTGATATGTAAAAACCTCTCGATTTTCTTGTAGGACTGAATACACTTCATAAACTGGATAAATGCAATCACATTATTTTCAATTGATTCTACAGGATCATCGTAACATCGTGTTGAAGTGCAGTCCGTTGCAAAGTGTATCACGGTATCAATCTATAACAGTAATTTGGGAATTACTAGCTGATAGATCTAGTGATAGAATTCTATATATTTTAGAAGTGTTATTTTAAAAAAAAATGTATATATATTAGAATTATGAAACAAGCTTCAGCAATTAGTTTTTTAATTTCCACTATGCTCCTCCAGTTTATCAAATATTTTATCAGCCTATCAAGTATGTTAATCAGCGGTTTAGTTAAGTCGAAATATCTCTTAAAGATCCAAGAATTCGTCTTATCGCTACGATTATTCTTGGTCCAATAGATATTCAGCACTCTCTTAACTGTTGAGCAGACACCGACACAGGAACTGACCCAGAATGTACAACTTCCCACCGTTTTAACCAAATTGCATGCACTATTTGTTAAGCGGGCAAAATAAGGTTAATAAATGCATGTTAAACTTTACATTATTTTACCTACAAGGAAAATTTTTTGCAAGAAACTGTGATTGTTTGACCTAGCAAATTAAACCTATTAAATCTTTAATTTCTCCTACATTCATTTCCATAGACACTTTTAATTTCTTCCTATCAATTGTGTCGGTACAAGCAATTTTCACCGAAATGGAGGATTCAAGGAAGCAAAAGTATCGGATGATTCATTCAGCAATCCAAGAAGTATTGATGAACATCCAGATGATGTAAGAAGGAGACTGTTTTTCATTTATAATTACTTAAATGAAGGGAACATCATTTTACTCTGTCTATAAAGCATGGATTAGAAAATCTGAAGGCACATATAGGATAACATGCATGCAGCATAAGATAGCATTGTAGGTACACTTATGAATTCTATTGATGATGAAATCGTTAAAGGAAAATATTTCCATGCAAGCTATTTCTTTTACCAGTGGAGTCGCAAATGAAAAAGCATAATATTAAAGGTACATATAAGTTTTTTCATTTTGTTGGTGCGGTAAACTTGATTTAAAAAATTTGGATTTAAATGGAATTGCCTTATTTTCATTTAAGATCCGTTCAACTAATGCACAGTTACGTATGTCGGCTGTGATAAGCTTGTATCGTGATGACTCGATTACTTCTTCATTCACGTAGAAAACATCCGCATTCAAGGTCAACTTATCAATGTTGACAATATTAGTTTGTGGCCAAGTTCGAAAGATATAATTCACAAAATTGGAACCAATAAAACCGCAACCTCCGGTGACTAACACGTTGCGAGGTGTATAGATAGACATCAGCACTTTCTATAATTGAATCTTATCAGATGTAACGCGCACGTAATACAATTCCACAACAAAACATTTCCCGAAGGGTCGGTATTCAAGTGCATTAGCAAGATAGGACAGTTTACTTGGGAAGATGAACAAACAGAATAGGGCTACTAATTATAACTAGAACAAGATATTGATCGCTTAATAATTACCTAAATTTTACACAATTCCCAACTGAATGATGAAAATTTAAAAAGTGGAAAAATTTAGTGTTTTGAGAAAATTTTTTTTAAGATAACAGTGATACGTGTGATCAGCGCCTCTACGTAAAGTATATTACAAAGGTATATTGATTTCAGTACTAGACGGTCTTCTGCGCGACATTATAAAAACATTTGAACAATAAAGTACTGTCTGTTATAATACTTCCACGAAACCAATATCAGACTGAATGATTTCCCAATCTAAGGAATCGAAAATAAACTGATTAGTATGAAGATGACACTTCAACTCTTGTCATTTTCTGTGATTGTTCTTCGCAACTAATTCTTTTTTATTTACACTACTGTTATTGCATATGCACCATAATAAACTCTAATTATTTTCATAGATTCAAGTAGATTCATATTTTCATAGATTCTGATTATTTTCAAGACAGACTTATATATAAATAAATAAATATATATACTTTGAGTATATAAATAGTAACAAAATGGTGAGAAAATTTTAAGGCCCTGTCAGGTTCAGAAATCCTTACTGCACAAGTTAGTACATGAAATGGCCAAATCTAACGCTATTTGATGATATTTCTACAGCATTACTTAATCGATTTTCCTCTGCATAAAAACACAACGTGCAGTAATGATAAATCTAATACACTTGTAGACATTCAGGAAAAACTGTAGACAACAAAATTCCCACATCTCCTAAAGAAAAAAGAAAAACCTTTAGAACTAACAAATATTATAGAAATCACGACCGAACGGATTACACCTTGAAATCTGTAGATAAAATTTGAAACTCCCAAATTTAAAGGATTTTTACATACAGACTTAAAAACACTTAAAAACACAGAACAAGCCGAACTTAGAAATTTGAATAACTCAAGTATCAAGATAAGACACCAATTACCATGAAATACATTTTCCAACGGGCCGCGTTGAGCAGAGGTAACAGGTAGATGACCTATTTTCCTGTTGAATTAGAGATCATAGAAAGTATTAATCATACTTTTCATACTAGACTGTTCAAACAGACACCAAATAGCGGAGTAATCTTTGATAATTTTGAAAAAAAAAAAAAAAAATACTGAACAGTCTGAATATACTATTGATTGAAGAACTTTATGAATATTTCAGCTATAGTAACATCAAAATGAACATAAACATCCGTAGAAATACTATGTTCTGTAAATAAAAGGTGTATCACTTTAATTACGAAAAATGTCGAAATGTGTATAAAATCTGACTGACCTTACTTTTCCAGTTTTTTTTTTCAGTTGCTGTCCCTACGATCTTCCTGATTTACCGATGTTTTCAATTCATGACTGAGAAAAGAATCAAGCAAAATAACCTCTAGAAATAATAACTTACAGTAAAGAAACAAAGTATCAATCATTCTGTTTCATACTTATAAAGCCCCGGCTTGTGAACCTCCAATTTTGGGAATGAAACTTAGACCAAGCCTTGCCAGTGTCATGTTTTTTGCGTAATGTTATAATGTGCCAGTACGAATCGTGCACGCCACACTTAACAATTCCTTGGTTTACATAACGAATGTAGATAAAGAAATCACAGACTACAGCTATCTGGAAAAGAAATGATAAAATTCCAAAGAATGATTCGAAGAAATTCTACTCTATGAAGTTTTCGTTCTTTCAGCAACACTATCTGCAAAGCTAATTACAGTTAGAAAATGTGAAGGTATAACTAACTACAACTGTACGTTAATAGTAAGAGCTTCAATCTGAAACTTATCGATTGCAGTATTGGCTTAGCCAGTAGCTCAAATTATTTATTGCTTAAGTAGAGATTAAAATGAGCGGTTTGAAAAGTTATTTCAAATTCTATTCGATCTATTCTGATCGAGACATAATTAAATTTCATACAGAATTACCTTTAATTGTCCAGCATTCCAGTAAGATCATACGCACCAGAAAACAATTCTGACTTATAATAATAGTTGATTTCTATACAACATACTATGGAAAATACCCCACATGATAAGCAATTTGTTTGTAAATCGAATATTAAAGTATCAAACCCTATTTCGTGCAAGCAGTGAAATATAGCACAGTTATTATTAACCCTCATTTTGTAGGGACAGAAACGTGGAACCATAGATAATGCACAAGTCCTGAAATAATAACGTCGAAATAGTATATATGAAAAAATAAAATCTTAATTTATAAAAAATGTCCGCAAAAAGTTTGAAAGTTACGAGCATAAATAAGATATGTTATAAGTTGCTATTCCCTACGTAAAATTTAGCATTAAATTTAAAGCATAGAATTGAGTGATAAAGAATGATAAAATTTGCTTTACATGACTACTGCAGAAAAAAGGAAAGATAAGAAAAGTTGCATATGATTCACTTAGCATCAGGTTTTGTTTTTGAAACGGCTTCTAGTTCTAAAGTATTTGCTTTGATCGCATTCAGAACTTGTTCTGTTAGCTGAGAATTTATAGAACGATTACAAACCCATAATCCCATCCACATTTCTCTTACTAAATAATAAAGAAATAGGAAGCAAAATCGCACAGAACAAGCATATATTTTTAATAGAAGTTGCCACATATCCTATCTCGATATACTACTCAATAAAATTTAGAACTTCTGGAAAAGAATGAAAATACCTAAAACTATTTTATTCAAACTAGAAAATAATTTACTTTAATGTTATTAAAGTTAAGAAATCGACAGACGTCTTCTGCAATGATGCGTGATAGAAAAGGTGAACTGTCATCGCCTGAAGCACCTCGCTTTCTCCACTGTGTGAGTTCTCTATGATAAATAGGATCGATCTGAATGATAAGAAGTTAATCTGAATAACAGCTAAATTTTAAAGTAAAGAACAGTTGCACTCGAAATTATAAAAGCTACAATAGGAATGGTTGATACCTCAGATACTGGTTCATGTTTTTCGCTCTGTCTTGTTGGTGTCGAATCCCATCCAAACGATAGCAGTGTGTAAATTTTATAGCTGCTTGCGGAACTATGTCTTTCGCCCTTTATCTCAACAACTAAGTCATTCTCCACTATTACAACTAAAATTAGCGCACTTTCACTTTTATAACTATTCAGAATTCACAGAAAACTGAGAAGCGCAATTTTTCAACGCTACAAAACCTCTAGTCCTTAACTGAGTGAAGTTTTTCAATAAAAGAGAAAGGCCAAAGAAGTAAAGCCGAAATCAAATAAAATCCAAAAAAGAAGCAGAATTTTCAGGTCAAAATCTAAGTTTTATTGATCTTTTGAAGGATATATTAAAGTAATCTTTATGTTTAAAAAAAAAGTGCAAAAAAGCAAAAAGTTGCAGAAGAAACGTGTACAGTTACGTGTGCTGCCAAGAAAACGTAACGCTAAACCAGTTCGCTGAGATATATGCGTTACTTGCGATGAAGAAGAGGATACTGGTGACATCACAATAACTTTTAAAGCTTCAACTTCAGCCACTAACATATAAACCTAAAAATCACATGTGTTCATGGAATTCGAATAATTTGCACTGCATGCAATCTAGCATATAAAAAAGTATGCAAAAATTTACGAAAAAGAGACTAAACTAAGTCGTAAAGATGTGACTAAAAAAAGAGGAAGAAATAAATCCCATATATTTGAAGTAATCGACTTTCAGAAGTAGTTTCTCAGCCTTGGCTCGACGACTTTCAGCATCATTGACCATTCGGTAGGCTTCCTGAAGAATCGAGTACAAGTAAATAATAAAAATCATTGAAAAAATTTCACTCGAAAAACTTAGTGGCATAGCTTAAAAGCACCTGGAAAAGTTTCTCGGTCAACTCCTGCACTTCAGAATCTATATGATTCTGAAGCTCACTCAGTCGTGTATACTTCGCTTCCTTCTCAGCGATTGAGTGTCTCAATTCCTTCTCAAGTCGGACGATTTGATCAACACTTTGTTCATAGTTTCCAGCAAACATTCATTTTTCGACGATGACTCTCACTGCAAAATTATTGCTTAATAAATGGAAACGTAACAGTAACGGTGTTAAACTTACAGGTTAATTTAGATGTAAGGAAAATTCTTACTTTAAACAACATACCTTCTACTTATGGCATATGAATCAAACTTTGGATGAATTAAAGGGATAAATCTTATACCATTGCAGTGATACTATGAAAATAAAAAAATTTCCCTCACTGACCATTCAATTATCGTCAATAAAAATGATTGCTAGTAATAGGAATAATTTTCAAGATTATCAGAATAAGCCATGACAGGAAATAATGTTGATTAAAACTGTTCAATATGACAACAAAAATGGTTATTTTTGATTATGAAATCGAAGCAATTTAAATTATATAGATTAAACAGTAAGTCAGGCAAAAATATTTACCTTGAAGAGATAGAAGTCGATTCGGATGGAACTAGATGAGCGCATGACATAAGTGTATTGATATCTCCCGATGGTTGCATCACACTTATTCCAGCGGAATAAATAAAAAGATTGTCGAAAGAAGAGATTTAATGAATTTCCCAGGTTACAAGAATGGATAATTTTCCATTCATCTGATTCAAATCCTAAAATGACGGTTTTAAAACTGAAATATGAGATGTTAAACGAGCTAAAACAATTCGTTGAAAAAATTGGTCCATCTTTAGCATCTCATCAATCTTCAATAGCATCCCATCAATAATTTCTGCGCATGTTATCGATTGTGAAGTAGGAATGATGAAAGATTAAAAATTGTGTTATTCTTCTAGAAAAGGTTCTCTATTTTTGTGAACTAAAATAAAATTAGGGAAAATTTTTAAAAAAATTAAAGAAAAAAGAAAAAGAGCCACTCTTGAAGCAAGAACAATGAAGTTCATGTTAAAATAGCCTTTGCGCTTTGTTTAATTCTTTTTTTTTTTCTTGAAAGCGAACTAAAATAAATAGTTAGGATATTACTTTATTACTTTAATCGTAAATATCGTTTCTATTATAAGAAAAAAAAATAAAAAATAGCCAGATGCGAAAGAATTTGCACTGCTTACCTTACTTTACCTTAATGTTTTCTTGACCCAGCTCTTTTGACACAATTGTACCTCTAGTGCTTCTGCCGAGTATTTCATTCTTTAAAAAATTCTAAATGCTAGAATGAAGGACAAGTGTTCTGAAGACATTTCTTCTGTTCATTTAAAACATACATATATAAATCCAGTACCGCGTAAGTTTTAAACGTCTACTCCGTATACATACTAGCTAACTTAATATTAACTAACCTAATAAAAGTATGTGACATCCTATCCTATGATAAAGTTTATGACAATTAACAGTGTATGTTTAAAGAACTATAAAGGATCTAAATGATCGAAGACATTTCACAACAGAAGTTGTAATAATTAAACATGTTATTGAAAGCTTATCAAATAGTAATGAAAATAAATTTTGAACAGAATTCTAAAAAAGAATATTAGATTCATTAAGAAATGGTATATCTCCAAAATTTTTTCCTGATTGATTGACAAATACGAATAAAAGTCACTAATGTTGTTACTAGTGCGAGCAATACTAACTGACCCATATTCATTTATTGATAAATATTTATAGTGCTCTTCAAACGTGAACTATTGTTCTTCCGATTCTTTAGAGAATGATCGAAACTGAAACCTCCCATTTTTATTTAGGCTCCGATATTAAAATACCAAAATGTCCTGAAAACATTTTTTAATGCCTTAAAAAAAAACGACAAATTTTGGACAAACAGGAAAAAATGACATAATGAGTGATAGATAACAGCTCTTTTCAAATGAACTGATAAGAGTGGATGATACGATGATACGAAAATGATGAATTTTTATCGTTATTCTGCTCATATTACTAATACACTGCATATTTCCGGTGTTTTAAGTTTCGTGAAATTCGTGAAATTATTGAGTAATAAAATTAGCCTAAGCAATCCTTTCAAACATATTTTACATAGTTCCATAGTAATACAATGCTACATCAGGAATAATTAGACAGTAATATAAAATTTGGAAAGAAAGAAAAAAAGAATTTTGAAGATAACAATTACTCAACAAAATGATAACTGCTCACATAGAACAAAACAAAATGTTTCACAAAAATAAAGGAAAACTATTCAAATCTAAGAGGCAATGATGTCATCAAAGTAATAATAAAAATTGACATATTAACTAAAAATAAAGTTTTAAATGATCGAATTTCCAGAACACATAGACGAATAAAGAAAATTAAGATTTGACCACATTTCTCAAATGTGATATTTACAGTGACAATAACGATGTTTCATCCTAATATTATTATGTAAACATATAGAAACACACAGCTATCATTCTTTTATCATACAGTTGCAATTGTTCCTGCTCAGTTTTCATAAATCCGGAAGTTTTACAATTTACACTGTTTTCAAAAAAAAGAAATTTAAGTGGTTTTACGCAAATTTCCTGCAGTATCCAAACTATATAAAGAGTATTCACAAAAGAAAATTCACTTTTACTATGTAAATGTTGAAATTGACTAGTGTTGAAATTCTTCTTGTTATTTTTATAATCTATGGGAAAGAAACAATTTGGAACTGTTATGAAAATTATCAGGAATGTGTTGCAGAAAGCAACAAAACAGATCATATTAACGTGGATAACGTTGGATCTCATAATCTTATAGAATTCTGCTCTCATTATACACAAAATATTCTTCTGTGTCTGGCTAAAAAAGTAATTAACAGCTAGTAAACTTTCTCGATGATGAAATTCCTTAGAGTACTTTAATCTCATATTTTTTTAAAAACATTTCCGTCAATAAAGTATTTTGGAGAAGATAAAAATAATTTTTTTTTCTTAGATTAATCGAATTATTTAAAATTCTGCAAATACTTTTAGGGAATACTTTACTGTATAGTAATGAAATTACAATAAAATAGTAAAACGGATAAGCGATAGAAAAAGAATATTTATTAAGCTCATTAAGTTCTCTTACAGAACTGAACTTTTCAGTTGGGTTTAACAAAAAGTATGTCAGTGTCGACATTTTCACTTCTCCTTGTTGTTTGTGAGGCAGAAACCAAAGGCAACATATCAACTACTATCGTAATTTTTTTCTGAAAAATATAGTACTATCAAATTTGAATCAAGATGAATTGACTAATAATGTCAAATATATTTGCAATAGAACTATGTTAAGGTAAAGCAACAGCAATAACATCAGTGTTACATTCGGAATTTCTTTGAAATCGGCCGAAAAATGCACCACATTCGTTTTACATGTTTGCTCGGCTTTGTCACATGTTATTGATAAAATAATTTGAGGATGGTGATAAGGGATATATCAATTGTAACAATTGTTTTAGAATTATAGGCAGAAAGAGAGTTTTACTATTTTCCATTATTCATTCGTTCTTCTGCTTGAAAAAAGAATAAATTAATATCAAGGAAGTGCAGCGAACTTTGAAACATTTGGCGCGGCTATATGCATATCTTTGTGCTTATTCAAATATCATGGATTTACATCGTGACACAGAATGCTTCCAGTATTCATTAATTCCTCTTTCTTTTCAAAATTCAAAAAATCGTTGGCTCAATTCCATCCTTTATTTCGATTATTTCCATTACTCTACCAACAATTTTAAATCAATGACATGTATATCTGATAACATTTTAGATATCTAATGAAACGCTGTGTTCTAAACATGCCGGATGATAGCTGTATGTTCTATCATTGTGGGAAATTATACCTTAATTTATCAGGATCTCCCCAAAAAAATCTGTCCACACAGCAGCAACAGAAAACAACAAAAACAATCAAAACAGTTAATCAACGTAATCAATTAACAGTTCTCAAGAATCATCAAGACCGAACCACTGCTCTCCTTATTACAATATTAATCTTCATAGGTATGACGCAATAACCTAATAATGTAAGTGTTTATTCCTTTTCAATAGTAACTTTCATAACAAAAGACTTTACTAAAATAATGGGAAAATGATAACTTTAACTATACATATATGGAAATTTATTAGAAAGTTTTTAATTTTGGCCGAAAGCCATTTTCGATGTTAACAATTTAAGGACATTCGAATATACAAGGATCTAATGAAATAATGTAAGTGAGTGGATTATCATTGTCCTTGTCAAGAAATGGGGCGATATAGAGAAGAGTCACTGGATGTTTACTGAAATTAGGAATTGCAGATATCATTTGTCTTTAGGAATCAAGTAGCAACTTGTTCAAAGTGCACTTCGTTTCCTGTAATATCTTTTACGACAAAATATAAAATCATATTTGATGAAACAAGAAGTTTTTTGAAATCTTGATAAGTAAAATTATATTTATGCCTTTTGAAATTGATTTTTGTTATAAATTTTTTTTTTTATAAATTGCTCTTTCGTACTTCTGATAGTAATTTGAAATGATCATGTGCTGCTGATATTTTGAATATATTATAATGAAGCTAGATGAGTCGGAATCATTCACAACGCATAATTCGTGTTTTCGTCTTATCTTCATTTATCAAACAATATTTCAAAAGAGGTCATACAAATTGATATCATGAACTCTAACGATAATTCCTTGACTGCTTGAAGTAATTTTTATGAGAAACTCAATGTTTAAAAAAATCACATGCTACAAATATCTTCGATGGAATTGCAGCGAAATCTTAGCTATACTGAACAAATTTCACATTCAAAAAAAAAAAAAAAACATTGTAACGCATATGAAGAGTAAAACGAGTGGTCAACTGCTGTGATCAACGAGAAGATAAATTGTTATCCATCTAATTACTTCTTCTCATAAACTTCTACCCGAGGATAGCAATTTTGAAAATCGACATGTCTGTAGCTTTTTCAAAACCAAGGTAGTAAGATCAAAGGATATTCACATCTCATGGAAGGTTTTGACTAAGAAGCATCAAATTTTACATTCAAAAATGACATCAAAATTAAGGAAGATAATGGGAATTATACGTTTCAAGAAAAATAAACACGCTACTAGACAATAACTTCAAGAATCTATTGGCAAGTAAAAGACCCTCGAAAAAAAAAGGAAAAATTCTTTTTGACCGAGAAACAATGGATTTCAAGATCCTAAAGACCACTTTCAGTTTGCGATGGTAAATATCAAACTATATGAATTTTTCTAATCAAAAAACAACTGATTACATGTATATGAAGTACATGAATGAATTTATTAAATATAGAACGAGCATATTTTGGCCGAAACTTCCTTGACCGATTTCAGCGCTACCTCAACGTGTAAATTCTCCCAGACTTCAATCCATCTCGACATAGGAAAATAATTCAGTCAATGCGTCCGTTTTATCAACAGCCATTTTACAAATAAATCTTTTAAAAAGAAAATGGCAATGCTTTGAGTTGAATACAAAAGAAGAAAAGCCAAAATCTGATTTACATATTGAGGTAACAATTAAATAGGATGATATAAAGTACGTTAGGAAATTATTGCTTGAAATGCGCTGCTACGTCTTTCTGAAGTGACCGGAAAGTCAGTGCAGCCGCAGAAGTTGTTACAGATAAGACTTGTAAGTTCAAAAATTGTAAGCACAAACTGCCTGTCACGTTTAATTAAATTGAAATAACAACTAATTATTTGTTTTTTAAATGAAATTTGAGAAATATAGATTCTCTTCCATGGAGGTAGTGATGTAAGAGTAAGATGTCTTACACAGTAAGAACAACAGCACTATTTAAAAAAATGAATATCAAAAATGAATGGATTAGGTTAGGAATGTGACGCAAAATTTTCTCTGCGGTCATAAAGCATAAAATTGCTTCAGTGCAGGAATTGAGAGATCTTTCCTGTTGTTCATTGAAGCAGAAGTATTAGGCCTGCTTCATGTTCATAACATTCATTAATAGAATGCTTTCTGGTTTACAAAAAGCATAACGAGAAAGTGGAATCAGTCCCTAGAGATAATAAGTCTCATGTTTTGATTACGAAGATAGGAAATCACTAAGATCCCGGATAATAAACAGTTCGTGGAATTTGCAACAATAAAAGATGAAACAGTAAAAGGAAGAAAAACAGAAGAGCTGGAGGATGAAATTTTCGAAAACAGTCAAAAGCTAGAGAATAATTACATCAGTAGGAAAGTGGAACTATCTGTCAAGAGTCTCAAAAAAATTATGAATGGCAAAAACTTTCCACATATAAAGCTTTTAATAAGGCTTGGATCATATAATAGAAGGCTAGAAAGAACAAGCAAATCTTGATTCGTATATATGAAAACCTCTTTCTGTCTCTAACAGTTATTGTCAAGAGCAATCCAAATGGATGATCAAAGGAAATTCAAATTATTTTTGGTTGAGAATATTATTGGCGAAAAGTAAAACAGAATGTTTGAAGAAACATAGAAAAGCAGATAACGATAAATTTTTAGATGATCAAAAATCAGCAAATTAAACAGGCTGGCATAAAGTTATCAATTAATATGGATGAAAAAAAGCGTTTTTATTAGTGGCCGAGACAAACAACTAATCAGTGACTATAAAGACCAATGACAAATAAATGGTCTTGATGGTACTACCTTTCTTACTCCTCCAACTAACGCTCAACAAAAGTAAAAAGCAGATTAAAAGTTGATTTTCTAAAACCAGAAAGAGATAAGCAGAAGAAATAACTAAATAGGGGATGAGATAGCAGTTTGAGATCGATCCAGAAGTCATCCCCAAATTTTTACCAGCATGATGAATAACAGAGCAAATGGATTTGTGCTGAAAGTAATCTAGAATTTCACCATAAATTTCTTAGATTTTGACATTAAGCCAAATGATCGTTGATATAGTCAAAATAAATGTTATAACAACCCACATACCACTTTTAAAACGCATAAAAAAAATACTGAATAATCATGATATACGTTTCCAAGGAGTGGTAAGTATAATTACTAGTTTCTCTTCTAGTTATGAAAGATTCCGAAAATTTGTTAAATTCAAATTCGGAATTTTTGTAGAACTAAACTTTGAATTAAAGAGATATCCCAGTGAAGCAGAAATCTAAGTGAAACAAAGTGAAATGGTTAAAACCTCTTTAATCACTTTTAATTATAATATTGGTCATTTTCCTCTCTATAAATCATCCAGAAGTGCTGGTATGAATGCTTTTTGAACTCCAAAAAAATTTTATACGACAAGTACGTTTTTTATGAACGTTATCGGAAGCACTAAGCATAAAATTTGAGTTAATAAAGAACAGTGTTGTTCATCCCTGCATTGGTAATCAGATCTTTTAAAAAAAACCGATCATTCAAGTCAAAATTAAAACAAGATTGAGGTTTTATGTTGTTAAACATACAATTGAATAATATACCAAAACTTTCCCAATAAACAAAATATGCTAATCTATATGTAGCAAAACTATGTCAAACTCACTTGAAATGATGGTCAAATACTAAACTGGGTTAAAAGAATTGACAGAAAGTAAATCCTAAATTAATCAATGCCAGTTTTGAATAAATTATTTGCGAAATCGGAAAACAACATTTCAAATAAGTTTCGTCAATAACTCATTTTCGTTACATATAATTAAATATTCCAAAGTTCCTTGGAATAGATAGCATCAGATCAAAGACTTCGATGAAAATTCTCTCTAAATCAGATGTCGAACAATGAACAACTGAAAATTCTGTCTTTCAGCTAAAAACGAATAATTGACTGTTTAAAACTACAATTCTTGAAATAAAAAGTATTTTAAGAAAAAAAAATTGTACAAAACAATTTAAATTAAGGTGAAGAGGAAGCGATTGATTCATTTCTATTACAGGTTTCGGACATAAGCATAAAAAATCTAAGAAAATATAGTTTCCTGAATCGATGAGAAGCGAACTTCGAAGAAAGAATCAATATTTGGACATTTTATGTGCACACAGTCAACAATTATATATCGTTTATACAGTTGCAATCAGAAATGAAACAATTACAAAAATACAGAATTCTCTAAAATTTTGAGATTCGGAAGTTTAGAAAATAAATTTAAGCAAGTCCAGTTTTGTGATCCAAATATCTCTGGTATTCGTTAACTGTCCGCCACTGAGCATTTCCAAGTATTACCTGAGGTCGTTTCACTTTAATAAACTCAAAAGCTACATTCGGGTACCAACCATTCTTACGCATCAAATAACATGTAGTAAACATTGCGCTTCGTGTCCGACCCGCTTTGCAGTGTACGTATCTAAAAAATGATTTTTTTTTTTTTTTTTTAAATGAAGTTATTATGATCTCAATTATCCTGATTTTTTAATATATCTCAACCATATCTCGAATGTCTATAAAAACATGTTATCGAAATTTTTATTCTTAAACAAATTAAACGAGAGTAAGAAAATCGTTACTTACACCGATTTACCGCGCTGTGCGATTTCATCAACAAATTTGAGGGCCTTATCGATTGACGCTCTAGATGCTGTACCTACGAAATCGATCATTGGTAGAGCATAGAATTCTACACCATTTTTTGTCCATTCCTTTTCATCCATTGCTTTCCAAACGATTTGTGTTTCATATCCTTATAACAGAAGTTTTCACATTGAGAATGTAATAACATATAATTTGATTGTTCACCTTGGCTAATCAAATTTATGTAATATTAAATCCCACTTTTTTATATTAAATTACGAATTCATATATTTGCTACCAGAAATTTTCAAGACAAAAACAATTCTAAAGCACTTTGTTGTTACATTTAACATCAGGAATCATGTACCTTCTGTACAACAAATAACAGCACCAACATTTTCTTTCTCAATAAGTTCTTTTACCATGCTCCGGAACGGCAACGCACCGAGTACTACGATATCATCAATACGATTATACCATGCCCACTTCACTGGTTGCAGATAATTACGTAGCAAATTAAACCCCAAAGTAGGGTAAAGTAGCAATCCTTCAAACATGACTGCAAAAAAATTAGAAAACTCAATATATCAACGAAACAAATTAACGGTGAGAACACGTACTGCGAGTCAGGTTCAGATATTAGTTTATGTTTTCTTTTGTTTATCTACCAATTTGCTCTCATTAATAGATAAAATACAGTTATGAACAATCTTGTAATACTTCGCTTATTTACGAATGGCTAACAAGTACGGAACAACTTCTTGAAGATCTTTTATTGATATTAATAAATAGCAGAAGCTTTGCAAATTAGCGGAAATGAATAGGCGATATAATTTGATATAATTAATGAATTTAAGAAGAGAGTTTAGAAAATGATCTTTTTCAACAAGAATTTTACAAGCAAAACAGCAATTTATGATCAACAAAGATGAAAACTGTAAAGAATGTATATAGAATAATGAGATCAATGAAGGTTTCCACTACTGAATAATTAAAAAAGCAAAATGAAACCACTCATAATAATAACATATCGATATAATTCTAATTCTTATGAATGGAATCCAATTCAACTAGCATTTTTTAGACCAGAAAATATAAGCAAAACCAAAAATTTGTTATGTACTTTCTAAAAACCAGTTTAATCGACCCTGAACAAACAAAAGAAAAAAGGACAAGCTAACATGTAACTTTAATTATAAAGTAAAGCTGCCTATAAGATAAAAAAAAGATGCGTGATAACTGAAATCCAGAAGAAAAAAGTTTTGAAGAACATGAGATTTTAGAGAATTTTTAACGACAAAAATGTTTAAGTTTAAAAGTTTCGAAAGAAAATTTCTAGAAAATATTACATTTTTAAAGGAAATAGCAGAGAATATCTATGGTAATTGTAAAGCACAATCTCATAAAACTCAAAAAATATTTAAAAATCAGAGATCATCAAACATATTTGGTGGAGGGTGCGCCCCAGAAAATTCGTAACTTCCACTATTGATTAAATCAAATGATGAATACTCTTCTCCATTATCAGCTGTCATAATTGGTTCACGATCATTGTATTCACGAGTGCCTGGAAATCGGTAATCTGATTGGGAGTTACTAATTCCACCTCTCAGTGCTCCATGATCTGAAATTTCGAATGAAAAATTGTCTTCTGTTTTTGATAAAAACATAACAAAATTTTAAATACAGCATTTATTACTAAATATTTGTAGAACACATAAAATAATAAAATTAAATGAATACCAATATCCTTAACCGATCATTATTATAATGTCCGTAAGCAGATTAGATTCCCAGAGTAACAGTATCCAAGTTATATTATTGAAAATCAGCGCTTAATTTTGGCAATTCAATCCGAGTGAACTAGTATTTCGAATAAAGTTATTTAAGCTTCACCTGAAGCTGTCTTCATTGTCAACTTTTCGCCCCAATACTGATCCCTTTCTTCACGATAAGCAGCACGCATTATTTTATTACGCTCTGAAAAAAAAAAAATGAGAGTATAAGGAACATACATACGAAATGTAGCATGTCTTCTGTGTAACTGTACACTAAAATCCAATAAGTTTTGTAATATAACTGGAGAACATTCAAAAATCTTAAAACCAAGTAAGATTTTTCTGCAGTCAGTGAAAAAAAATTATGAAAAAAAAATTAGACTTTTGAAATTTTAGTGTACAGTTATACATGTGCTTACCCAACGAAACACGAGCCTTTCCACCACTAACCAATTCTACAGTCATTTCATCATCATCAACGAACTGATCGATACCAAGAAAGTGCAATAATCGAATTCCCAATCTATAATAAAGCCAGGAACATAAGAAAAACAATAAAATGCAACAAAATAAGATAGTCAGTCAAATAAAATAGCAACTAAAAAAAAATTAAGCAGGAAAACTAACTTGAACCAAGTTCCCAGTGCAAGTAAAACAATTAGAATAGGAAGATAGATATTGATCCCTTTTGCCAGAACTGGTATTAAATCTAAGTGACCCATCAACTAAAAAAAACATTATTTTTTGTGTAGGAAAGAGCTACAAAAGTTAATGAATAAAAGCTAAATTACACTAGTATTGAAATCATGTAAAAATATTCTCAAAAATATTTCAAGTTACACACAAATAGCAACGTTTCTTCAGAAATTAACTTAATTCATTACTAAAAGTGAAAAAAGAAATGAAAGTGATCACATTTTTATGAACAAGAACTCACTTTTGTAAACTGTGTTTCGACTCCAAATTCTGTATCTGAAGTAATATGTGAGTCGAGATGAATCATTCCCAGCACATTGAGACATATTGGTGGAGTTAAGCGACATAGTAAGCTATAATGAATTTCTTATTCACCAAGAGTAATTAGCATTACAATGTAACATAAGTTACATCGACAACGAATAACTTGGTATTCATTTTCTGATGTATTCTATGCAAAATTAAAATTCATAAATTCCATGTAAATGATGCTTTTATAAATACATAGCGCTAAACAACAAGCTATTTTCATCGGTCATATGATGAGGGTCCAGATGGTAATAGCGATAGATTTGCAATTTAAACACTGTATAATATGCACAGATACAAAGATAAGATATGATTACAGTTGCATAAATCTGAAACTGACGAGAATCAAATAAGCATTTATCAGCACAATTGATATAATTATCTGGAATATGTAATTAAACTATAAGAGAATCAAGACAAAAAAAAAACGCACTCGTTTATTTCCAGCTCTTTGCCTCACGTATCAATAAAAAAAAAGTTTATTTTATAATCCTCTTTTATATCATTAAATTTGTCATTCAGAAAAGATCACCTGAACATGAAGATAATGATAATCATAGGCAGCATGATGAACAATAAGAGCTGCTAGTGAAAGCCGTGGATGTACAATGAAAAAAGTGCATTCACTCCACATCACAAATCCGGTTATCGCATAAAAAAAAAGTCCAAGAATCTAAAAGATTTTTGGATTGTCTTGCGCTGAATAGGCATCAATCACTTCTAAATTTACCAGATAATCATCTACAAAATACAATTATTAAGTTGCCATAAAATTATTTAAACAAATAACTTACCTTCAACAAAGTCCTCTTATACAATACATGCCACAAAAAGTAAACACGAGATGGACAGAAGAAAAAATTTGTCTGATGTTCCTTAGTTCTAAAAATGAAAGCAGTGAAAAACTTATGTTGAGAATAATTTTTATTGGCAAAAATTTGCTTTTGAAAAACAAAAACAATGTTTTTTAAAACAGCGTTATTTATAACTACTGTCAAGTTAAGCCAGACAACAAATATTTTTAACGAAAGGTTATGGGCACCAAAAATACCAATTGGTGTATTGTCTGACCTGACAAATTGGCCTGTCATTTCTGCCTGCTGAATATCTTCTAGATATAAGGCTCGAAATATTAAAGCATTCCACTGTGCCTGTTTTCTATGATGATTTTGCACAGCACTGATAACACGTTTGTGTAATCGTATCTATAAATCTCGAATAAAAAATCCAAAAATAGCAAATTTCTTTTATAAAAAATTGGAACTTTTTATAGTACTCAAAGTGGATGAAAGTTTAGGAAGTACATAAATTCTTTATTTCTTTATTTGAATTATCCAAACACAAGCTGATAAAGAAAAGAAACGGTTACATTTATGTTAGAACATTCTCCCATACTATATAAAAAGTTTGTTATAACATTGAAAAACTTTTCTAAATGTTCTAAAGCTTTCTAAACCTTTCATATATTCTTATGCTATTCTTAATCCTTTCTAGGAGTAGAATGCATCTAGATATGACGACTAAATTAAAATCACTTCTTTTATAAAAAATTGGAACAGTTTTTGTAGTACACAAAGTGGAAAGATTTTTTTTAAAAGATTTAGAAAAAACAAAACTAAAACCAATGTGGATGACGAAGAGATCGCCTCCTTAAATGGAAAGCAGAATATTTTTTGGAAGGTCCAGAAAAAACAAAACTTGCCAGATACTTCTCACTTGCGATGGAACCTTCACTGTTTGGTGTGCTGTTAGAAACTACTGAAAAACCGTCATTCGATCTCGAAGTAATCTGTGAGACCAACTCCGGTGGAAACTTCGCCAAAATTATCTGCGCATACTTTCGTAGTGTGTGCTCACTACACAGAAGCGTTAAAACGCTTCGAGCTTCTCTGAATACCGAATTTTAAATTTAACTTTTTGTTCACCAAATATCAAAAATAAGTTAATTTGATTCTCACTTTTTGAACTGCATTTTAAACTTTACAAAAATTTCAAATCCAAAGTGTGGTAAAAAGAACTACGGAATAAATGTGTGGTAAAAAGAACTACGGAATAAATGTTTTACTAAACAATTTCTTGCACTTAGAAGACTCTGGAATTACGGAAGCTTGTCAGAACATTTTATTCATAGCAAAAAATCAGTTATCAATCTATACGGCAGTCAGTGCAATTAATAGATAAGCCCTTGTGTAAAGTTAGATCTCTAGGATACAAAAAAAAACAAAAACATTTGTAGTGAATATTACACGTACTTATACGCCTCTCGGACGGCATGTTCGGCGTCGTTTTTATCAGTCGACAGCTTATCTATATCAAAATACGTTTTGTTTAGCCGATAATCTGAAAATTGAAATTCCTTTGAGATAATAAACGTATATGATATGGACAGACTCAGCCGCATATTCCATACATTATTTAATAATTCCTAAATTAAAGATGCAAATTTTGATATCTATAAAATTCTGACTGCACCGTTCATAAAATATTCAGAATTGGAGATCAAAGAAACTCAAGAGTAAAGTGACAACATAACAAAAGATACCTCGACTTCCCATTTGCCAAAACTGTCGAGGAACCTCTATTAAGCCATAACCTAATAGAACCACCAATAAAAACAAACCCCAAGTGTTAGAGGCAGAAATAAGGATCACTTTCAAATGTTCCCTGAAAATATTCATAACGTCTTTTAGTTGTATTTTGCGATTAAACTAAATAAAAATGGTTAAAACAGCAATAAATGTTATTACGTATGTTTGCAGAAGGAGCAGAGCAAGTGGAAAGATAATAAAGATTTCCCTAAAATCAGCTATCAGATCAAAATGTAAAACAGAAAACTAACGCGTTTAGTACCACTCCTTTCACAGCAGCATAAATCATCAACATGAAGAAAACAGCAAGATAGGTTCCGTAATATATGGCATTACTGTATATAGCAGATCGCAGTTTACCAAGTGACGAGAAATCACCAGCATCTGAATAATTTTGCATCAACGGTAATACAATCCTGCAAAAATCCAAGGACATTAAAGTTGAGTATAGCAGAACAGCCAACCTAATCAAAAGAATCACAAGAATGATTACATGACAAAAAATTAAATTTAGGAAAAAGCATATCAGCCACATCGAATAGTGGTAAAGTGATAAAGCATTTTTCAAACAAAAATTTTAATAAATACAGAGAATGCAGGTCATTGTTCCAGTACACAACAACTAACTTAACACTCACAACACTAACCATGTCAGTAGTTGTGCTGTCCAATAAACAATACGCCATAATCGTAGCAAAACGTAATTCGGCACAAAGCCAATCGGTTTTCTGCACACTGCATCTGTGATGTTTATGACATTCAGATCTTTCTTGACTGACAATTGCGCTTCTTCCAGTAAGCAACGATTATAAAATGTCTAAAAATTCACACAAATAACACACTGCTGTGAGCTCATGTAGTTCCAAATCCCTTTTATTCACAACTATAAAAAGCCAGAACTGCGAAATAAACCAGACTTTAAAGCTTAAGAATGCAGATGAACAGCTAGTTAATATCCCTTGTTACTTACACGACGAAGCCATCTTGTTTCTTATTTTAGACTTAGTCTAAGAAAAATAAACCTAAAAATATCGGAAAATATAAATTCAAGTTTAAGCATAATTTTGCGATAAAAGCTTACGATAGCAATATCCAATGGCAGAATAAAGATAATAATAAAAGAAAAGAACCAGCCAATAAATGTTGAGATCGTTACAATGAAATGCTGTCGCCGCCAATTGCCATATTTATTCAGTAGTAACAATGTCAGGAAAAATACTGCAATCAGTTCTAATACCAGTATGCCAGCACCCATCTTGAAAAGCACTTAACTTTTGAGTTCTGATCAAAATATTAAAGATGGAGAGCAAATAAACGAGCCCACTGAAGAAAGTCCAAGAAAACCCACTAAAGAGCACAAATGATAACTGGATGAAAAAACCTTAACTATATTCACTTCAAATAACCTAAAATTCCCTGTATACCCTATATAAAAAGATGCTCAGAATGTAACACCTGATCCACTGATATCCCATAAATTCAAGAAAAAAAAAAAAAAAAAAACATATCAATGCCAAAAATTTCCACACATATTCCCTACCTTGGATGCCATTCAAAATCCAATAAATTAAATTAAACAAAGAATGAAGGACAATTTCTACTGCAGAATTATTATTCAACTGAGACTAAAACAAGAATTTCAAAACAAATTTTCTAGTTTTTAGTTTTTATTTGAAATATTTAAGTGCAAGAAATTAAGTAAAGCAGTTATGAAAATGGAAACATCAGAACACACAAAACAGCAACAGAAACAGAGTACCCGTCTAATTTAGGTGCATCCCGAGTTGCAACACACACTTGAAATAAGTTTTAAAAGTTTTAACCTCGAAAATTTTGAAAGAAAAATAGAAAGATCGCAAATACAGAACAAAATTTTCAAAAAAGTAATTTCAATTATACAAATATGATATTTACATAAGTGTCTGAACGAAATTTTTTTTTCCACCATCGATTGAAGACAATAAAGCCACAGAATTCAATCCGGACCAGAACTTGTTCATAAAATTTTCGGCTATTTTTAAACAATAATCTCGAAAGCTAGACAGCAACAAGGTATGCGAGTGTGGCTTGAAATCTTCAAAATACAAAACTGAATATTTGGCAACAAAGCTAACATGTACTAAACTTATTATGAGACCGAAAAACTTTTACTTAAAAAGAGATTTCGATCTTTTCAAATAATCTAACAACATCGGTTATGAATCTACATCGCCACTTAGTTAGTTACTACCTGTATTTCATGTAGTAATCAATAACACTTGAAAATGCAGCAAAACCTGCCGCACCTAACGCAGCTGGCTTTACACCTGCACGAAGACCAATCAAACCACCAACAATTGCTCCAGCTAAAGTACCATTTTTCCAATCATTACATGCTCGATAACTTTCCACTAAGCATTCAGTGCCCGTAAATAAAAATCCTATAGAAGCAAAGTTCTTTCCATACGAACGCATTCGTAACTTCGATTCCAACCACATTTCTTTCAATGTTGGCTGTAACAACAAAATTTAACTCTTTGTTAGGTTATTTAATCAATGACAAAACAACCGAAATACAATGCTATCACAAAAACACACAGGTACAAACGACACAACGATGTGGCGTCAATAGCAGTCATACAGATCCGTCAATAATTTACGCAGCGACGATGGTTAAGAAATTCATCGTAGTATTTTTCAGCAGTTAATTTAATTGAAAATCAAGTAAATCAGCTGAAAATTTTAAAGCTTACAAGTGTGTAATGAAATTAATAGAAAAAGGAAACATACAATTTTTGTTAGATTAGCTCCAAATGCCATAGTTGCCTGCGGATCAACTGAAGCAGTAAATAAACCGAAAACAATGCCAAGACCAAAACCAGCAATTGCTGCAATAGTCGACTTGCAAGCGCAATTCTCCATCAATCGAGCAAATATTAACTCTTCACGGGTCATTTCTGGTAAAGTAAAAGTCTGCAAAGATCTTTTAACGAAATCTCCTACCCAAAAACTAATATTTATCTATATCAGAACTTAATATTACAATAAGAATATGTTTTCACGTTCGTCTTCCAACAACACTCTCCGAATTTTTCTATATTAGACTAACAAGTCGTTCCCTACTTTTTTTTGATAACTATGAGCTCCAAAACACTTAAAAGAATATACAGCGAAGAGGACAGTGAACTAACCTGAAGAGGCTTTATAGGAATGCGATCAGCATTCCACGGCCTAGTCCTCCTTCCAATCATTTCATCCATTAGTTGACAATAAGCTGAAGGAATGTAGCTGAATTCTCCGACTCGTTTCTCTTTCGCTTCCGTTCTTTCCACTCGGAATGGGTTACCAAAAGGATTTTTGAATTCCAGCATTTTCTATGATTTTTAAATTTCAACAGTCTGTTCAAATCTTGAATAAACTAAATAAATTGAAAGAAGAAATTCCTAAATAAATGAAACTGTCTTCCTCGACAAACTCTAAACTAGTCTCAGATTTGCTAAAATTATTGTGGAAGTAAGACATAATCGCACCTTCCAAGACAAAAACACTATCAAAAAACCAACATAAAGCAACGCACGAAGTCAAAATGTCAGCATTTAACGCAGTTCCCTTAAATACACAATCGTTTCTCCTTATGTCTGGTTGAGATGGGCTCCGTGTATTTGTGTTGGTAACACGCACGTGGCTTTACTTCACCTAAATTTCATTTAATGGATTCAATACCATTTGCATTATCGAAGCTCTCAATACTGCAGAAAGTATTGCCTTATCAGTATATAAGACATATCAATGCAAATATCTAAAAATTGCTAATCTAACAACTGGACGAAATATCCTCGTGATGTTTAGGCTGAGGACGAAATGTCCTCGTGATATGTTTATGAGTAATAAATCTGAAAAATCTAAGTATAAAATTGGAAGATTCTCGGATAACAGATAATAGAAACGAGAATAGTAGTGTCAAGATGAGATTTAAACATGAAATGCTACTTGCTGTTTACAACATTTCTTAATTCAAATTATTATATTTATAAGATTCGCTTTGTTCGAAATGACTTTCTTCTGCTTCCCACTCAAGAATTTTTGAATTTGTTTATTATTTATAGATCGACGATTATACTTGCTGTGGATTTCTTCCATTTAGAACTTCCTGTCTTGTTTCTTTAAAAGAAATATGATCATAAGCGTTTTTACAGAGATGAGATTGTTATGTGAAGGACTCAGTTAATGATTGAAAATATCTGACAATGCTTTCTTTATTCTTCGTAAGCTTTTTTAAGTATTTTCGGCGCATCCGTTTGTAAAGTAAAATAATATTTCTAGCAAACTTAATGAATAATTAAAGTGTATCTTCTCTTCTTTTGGGTTACTTCAATAATTGATACTATTGTTACAACCAAAATTTGATATTATGGGTTAATCAATAACAGCAATACATGTAGCACTTTTCGCTGTCACACGTAACCGTATAGCAATCTTTTCAACGGAGAACTGTTGGTAAAGAAACCGGATTCTGTCCGCCATGCATGATCTTTTCAATGATTCAGCGTAGCAAGACACAGTTTTCGGCACCACACCATTTTTCGACATTTTCATCGTTTTAATTTTGCCTTTCAAGAATCGATTAGCACTGTTTAATTTGTAGTAATTCTTTCCTTGCATAGAAGAGCACTTATCGTTAGTGATCACCGAGATATTATTTAAAGATACTAAAAGGAAGTTAACATTGAAAATTGTCAGTTATTTGTTTACAAATTTCAGAAATTCCGAAACTATTTTTGATCTATAATGGTACGGAAATGTAGAAACAAAACTTTTGAGTGAAGGGGAAGCTAAAATATAATACAATGTTAGTGAATGATCTAATTAATTGAAAGCGTTAAATCTTTGTACTGTTAGACTAAATTCAGGATTTTAAAATTTAATCATCTGCGAGAGTGAAATGAATTTTTTGTAATATATTAATGTCAGAAAAATATTTCAATATCAGTGATTATCGACAGCCGAACCATTTTATTATAAAGTTGTTTGATTACGAACTATTTAAAAGTTACTTAAAGTCATCCCAGTAAATTATGGAGTTGATTCTTGCTTAACTCTCCTAACTTTATAATTCTCTTTGAAGTTCAAATACTGCTGATTCCTTCCTAACACGTTGTGTCTAATATGTCTGAAGCATTTCTTCTCATCTAAAACACGCAAGTTCAGAACTTTTGCATCCTTCAAAAGTTATTAACCACATTTTCAGTATCATGAAAAATTTGTTACTTCCAGTTCTTTCACTTTTATGTGTCGCTGAAGAAATATGCGCTGGGCACGAAGAACGTAAGGCTTTAGAAAGTTTAAAAAACAAAAGATAAGTGGTTTCTTAGTGTGAATTAAAGCACAACTATACTTAATTATTGATTTTGAAAGATTACATTTTTTTGATCGAAATAGATGTAATCTATGATTTCTACTTTTTCAAAATTGATTTATGGTTTCTTAATTGCTGCTAATGCAGTTTATAACGCCGGAAAGTTCATCAAATTGCTGGACTAAGATTTTGGGTTTCTTAAAATAAATTCTGATTTAAATGGTACCAGGATATGATCTCAGAAAACTACCACCGGATTTGAGGCCTATTATGGAGTTGATCGGACTTTGGCAACTGGAGACAAAATCCGGTCCGACACGTGAATACAGTCCTCCTGATCTAATTGATATTGCCATTAATCCAATTCCAAAATTTGGCGCCCGTGCTGCCAACATTACGTGAGTTCGATTTTTATTTAATCAGAACAGAAATGATTCACAGATTAAAGGAATTGATATTCTCATAATTCATCAGTAAAATTTGTTGTAGACACTGTTCAATAAACTATATTGGTTCTCTTTATTTCTGCAAAATTTACAATCGAATTTTAGTCACTTTTGTATAGACGTTTAGGCACAGACTGTTATTCTCTAAGAACTCTTGCGCTATGAGAAAGCAATTTCAGTCGTACTCTTATTCTAATATTTTATTAGTACTTCTAAATAGTTTCATCCACACCCACTTTCTACTCCGATGCACAGTAATATCATTTGTATTTATGTAATAAGAAGTGATTGTTAGCATTTTAGTGGCGAAAAATGAATTGTGTAAATGATTTTTTTTAAAAAAAGTTCTGGAACAAATTATAGGAACATATCAAATATAAGCAAATCCGATTTCCATCATTAGTCACAATTCATCGTAAATATTCGAATTCAATTTCGTCAATCAATATTCTTTCGAATTTTATTGTTTAAATTCATGTTATCTATGATTTAGTACCCATTAATGACAAATTTCAGCAAGTCCAGACTGATAAATCTCAAGTCTTTTTTGATCTCCATTTCTGAGAATGTTAAGAAGGTTTAGTCTATCAAATAAATACCCATTACTTACAAAACAGTTGCAGGTAATGCTTGCAGTACCCACAGAAATAAACAGAGGATACGATATTTGCATTTGAGTAAATAATAACGCAATCAGTTAGTAATCTTATCATGTTGTAATGACATGCTTGTTATCAATATTTATCAAAATAACACTCCTATATGCATGTAAATCAAAGTAATACTCTTGCATGCAATCTACATTTCTTATAAAGAATCTCCGAATACAAAAGATAGCTTTGGTTAGATTTGTGAATTATTTGCCTCGAAAATAGCATTTTTTATAGTCTGGAAATGAATAATGAATAATATATACATATGTTACACTCAATAATATTAACAATGAACATACACTGATTAATAAATTGAAAACAGTTTATGAAATAGATTAGAAAAATAAACATCTTTTTACTCTAAACATATGAATTAAGTTGGTATTTATAATTAAAGTCTTTCTGACTCTGTTGTTTTCTCTCTATCACAAGGATTATTTTGAATCTTAAAATACCATATACAATTTCAGGCACACTTATTTTGATTCTCAGAAGAATATTATACGATCAGATTATGGTTTTATGCCAGTAAAAAATGCAACAAAACGAGATCCTCGCATACACATCGCATATTTGACCACTAGTAGCGAAGGTATTTATTGCTGTACAATTTCACGGAAGATAAACCAAGCATCAATAAGTGAAAATTTTCACACTATGTTTTCTTGAAGTTTGCATCATACTACTCAATTATCGGCAGCAAAGTTGGTCTTAGCTCATTTGAATCCGCTAAAACTTGAAGAATTCAAATGTGCTTATAAAATGAATCTTGTAGGCTATTCGATGATGGAACAAGGAACAGTGGTGGGCCGTAAAATCACATTTCATCTGAAGCAATTTCTGCGCCGAACATTTTCAGTTGGAAGTAGTGGTAACGAGTTGGATATTCGAGAGGTACTCTTCATATGTTGCGAAGTTTTTTTATAAACAAAAAAATTTGCATTTCAAATATTTTACTCACGAACAGCTGCAACACGGCTATACTTTAGACATTAACTAACTTCAGCTGATAGCAAAAAGCTGATTAAAGCAATGTAGTAATATATCTTTCTACTTGATTAAATATATAACACATTTTTTAACTTTTTCTTTAGTCAGTGATTGCTGTTAAATAAAGCAAAAGTAGAAAGTGCAACTAAACATGAAGGAATTCCCTCTTTGCAGCCTCGTATACAGCGCCAGAATAACTAAGTGCGCATATCCTCGACAGTTGAGTGCTATACTCTTATCACCTTTTACCACTTCTAGAACTTCTTTTTCTTATTCCAGTTTTTTATTCATTATGAACATATTTAATTCTAATTTCCAATTACAGTTCGAGCGACGATTCGAGATTCTGGATTTTAATCATATGACAATGAAAGTCCGTGCCGAAACAGCTAGTGGGACAGAAAACTTTTTAGCTACATATCGCAAGCTTATGCCTTGAGCATGATATTTTTATCAACCTAAATTTTTTGAACCTAATTGTCACTATAGAATTAGGAAAATGGAATAAATTGTTTGAGAAAATCTTTTATTTTATGAAATATAAGATTAATAACTTCTTCATACTTTTTTGAAATTTCCGAGTAGTTTTTGAAAATTCTATGAAATTAGAAATACTGCTGGAAGTTTGAAAATCCATGAATATGTGAATAGGTTGTTAGGAACTATTTCAATTAAACATTTTTCCACTATCACGAAAGACTTTTTGGGTTACCTAACAAAAATGTGAGAAGAGTAATGGAAGTTTTAGGTTATTCTCTTTACTATCTTTCGATTCATCTTCATTCTTTTCCGTTGAAGCTTTGAAGGCTTCTCTTTTTTACCAGTTTAAATAATGCGAAGTGAAAAGCAAGTCTTAACTTTTGATCCTGCAATGATATTTAGCCAGCAACCGGAGTGACTGCATCTCTTTTAGATTAGAAAATTCCCTTGGCGCATTATAATATCAGCAATTGATGAAAATAATTACACTCATAGAATCAACAGAAATGTATCAGTTACCAGAGCACCTGAAAGTCTCAAAAGACGAATTTTGCGTGGATTATTACTTATGAACTGATCCGGCATATTTCTTTTTCATTGTGAAATGCAACCGGAAGTATTACTCATCCCTTTTTAAGTCCAAATCTATTCCTCATCTAAAGAAACAATTGAGATTTGAACGTTTCAGCAAATTAAACTCATAAAATCACATTAAATCTTTTATTGTAGTTCACTTCCATCTTCCTTCCTTCGTTATAAGCTACTTTTTACTTATAATCCTTTCAAGTAAACCCGCTGATTATAATTATTTTCAATCTGATTTAAATTTTCTCATTATCAGGATGTTTACATTGTCATCTCTTACTGTGGAAGTAGTAGTCTGGTGATAGATTTAATACACATAAAGATGTAGTAAAGCTTTTTACTTAACCAAACTTTTACTTTAACTTTTGTTAAAACCTTAGGAAAATTTTATGTCTCAATTCCTTAAAATTTCAGATTAAGCATGTATTGCTCTAAAAAGTTTCATCCAGTTCGAGATTGAATTTGCTTTAATTTTCGACCAATATTTCGGAAAACTGGGGCACTTCAATTTCTTCATGGATAATTTTTTTTAAACCAATAACATTTTTCCTCACCTGTCCAATTATGTTGGTGTAATTAGTAAGAATTGGCTTACAATGGCCGAGCAATAAAGCTTTTGTTCTGAATAACACTTCTCTCACTTTTTGTTTATCGAAAATGATTCCGTCCGTCTTGGATAAAATAACTGCAATCGAAATCGACGGCTCGATAAATCACGAGAACACAAAGAGACTATTTCTAGCTTGTTAGCTATTGCAGAGCATAATAAATAGTTGAAAACTCTCTGCACTTTATAAAATTTCTGTTATCAACCTAGATGACTATTTTACTGACCGTCCAGCAAATGCTTAGTGTAAATCAAGCGCAAATGATGCATCACGTCTGTGGTTATTTCCCTTTTTATTTACGTTTTATTCTGAATTCATCATGTGTTTTTAATTTGTATTAATAAAAAATAAAAATAAAATTACAGATGAATTAAATTAGGAATAAATTCTGAGTGCTTTGATAATGTTGAATGCAGGAAAAATTCCAAATAGTTCCATAAATTTCTTTTCTTTAATCCTTTCCAAATCCCTCTCATGCAGATCCCTGGAAGAATAATTTTTAGATTAATTATTAGTGAAGTTAAGCACCTAATCAAAAGAGGCAATATAAAAGTTAATGAGATTTAGTACCTGCTGGAATTTTATCGCAGCTATCTCTAAATCATGATAAATAATGTAATTATTGTTAAAAATATTTTTATTGAGTCAGAGGAAATATTTGTTCGATCCCAAGCAAATGCAATAAAATTTCATTACATATTTGCTCGAAGTATTGCATCTAAAAGAGTGAATTAATCATTAAATAGCTATCAAATGAAAATTACTTGTCAAATTAGATTTATTTCTTAAACAAAAACAGAATGAAAGTTTGCTGTCTCAGATGAAAAAAATTTTGTTCTTTTTATGCTGTCGCAAACAAAGGAAAAAATCTTAAAATGAAATTACTGAGAATAACTTGACAATTTTCAAATTTTACTCTGTGCAACATAAAATATCTCAAAAAATTTTTTATTGATTACAAACTTAGTTTCGAATTTCAAAATAGGATTAGAAAAATTCAGAAAAGTTGGTGAAGACGTTTCAATTGATTTATCATATTTAATGAAGTGATAATTTGATCTGAAATTTACTTCCGCTTTAATTTTGCAATCAAAATGTTTCTTCCCACATCACTGAAATCAATCCTACGGTATTCAATGGATATGCAAGTAATGGTTAAATTACACCTTTGTTCGACCATATTTCCAATCTCCAAAACTTTTTTGTGTTACCTCCTAACTCTTTAAATAATATTGAAAAAATAGATCTATTATCATAAAATCTATCTTCGCTTGTATAACATTATTTTTCGTACAAACACATCTATTAATCATTCCTGAAGCGATAAAGTTGATTTTACCGCTAAATATGAAATACGTTTTCTTCTCCAACTCCTCCTCTTCATCCATTTCAAACTTCTGAGATTGAATCTAAATACCATCGTCAAGTAATAACGATTCATTCATTTCAGTGAAGTAATCATCTGTGGTACCTAAGAAATCCTTGAAGTGAAGCAGAATCCACAACAAAATGAATGCTCAGTGAAAGAAACAGTTGCAGATATACCTTCACATATTTCGGAGTTGGCAGAATTGGTTAGTGCTAAATTACTACTTTATACATCAAAATAAATTGAGAAGCTGCGGAAATAAGTCGGATGTTTAGGGACAGAGAATTAACGATTTAAAGTCTAAATAGCTAATGGACTAAATGATTTGTTACCTGGACATCTCAGTAATGATAGAATCTATTCTATCACAGCTGATCAGAATAAAAGGATGGCAGATGAAGAGATGTAAAGTTAGATAGAGCAGAATAGAAGTTGAAATCCTTAAAGGACAATTTAAAGTTTTTATAGCTGCCTACAACATTAACTATTAGCTTCTTTAGTAGTTCTCAATATATATTAAAGCGATAAGGAGAACATAGATTTCTGTCCGGAATAACTGACAAAAAAATATCACACTAGTAAAGGAAGTAAAAATAGTTGAAAAATGAGATTTTGAATCATAAAAAGATGTTTTTTCTATTTGCTTAATCTTGCAAAACAACTGTTGAAAAAAAAGCAAATCTGATATGTTGTAATGAATGATGATCTCTGCGCAACAAAGTGTTGAAAATTAGTAAAGTGATTACAGAATTGGACTTACAGAATTGTATTTTCGCATGCATTTTTCTCGCATTTACATTTTAACATTCATTCAAAATTTTTGTAACTTTCACTTAATTTAAGAGAAATTATTAAGAAAGTTGCCAATATGATGGATTCATTCCCTCGCTGAAATATAAAAAAATCTTTTGAATTGCAGTTAACAATTATATGACTTTAATCAGATACAATTTAGAGCTCGTTTATTGCTGCACACATCATTCATCCACTATCGCTTCTCAAAAATAAAACCTGCCATCGCTACTATTTTCGAACTTATTTGCTTTTTAAACATACTTCGAGACTAACCATAAAATGATAATAATCTTAACATTGCTCTGAAACTTCTAAGCCTGACAAGAAGAAAATACAAGAGTATGGCGGAGGAGGATACAAAAGTTATTCCAACTTTAAAATATCCAAGTTTTCTTTTTCTCTTTCTTCTCATCATTTTATTTTTGTCAGTCTATTTATCACTGTATCTTGTCAATTGTGTTATTATCAGCGGTTCAGAGAGAAATCAAAATACTTAACTGCTTTATCTAAGAAATTTTGAACTTACTAGCTGCTATTGCCGTCACTATTAAATTTGCTTTATGACAAAGCTGCAAATTTTCCCATTCCTTTTTCATTTTAGAAAACAATTCCGTTTTCTTTTTCCGTAGTTATTTTTCTCTTAATTGATATTTGCTTTTAAGCGAATGAAACATTTATATAAGAATCCATTAAAAACATTACTATAGCAAAATCTATCTTAAACAGAAAATATGTTTTTTAGCAAATTTTGATTTAATATAATGTTAGAGAAACTGAACGGTATTTTTTTTGTTATATATTTTTTATTTTTTTTTTTTTTCACTATTATAATCAAATCTGCTGATGTGCTCATTTATTAACACCGATATTTGTCTGCAGTTGATTTTATAAATTGGAGCTTTTTTCTTCTCGTCACTTTCTTCAAAATTTGATTGCCTAGAATTTTGAAAAATTAATTTAGCTTTGTTAGTACTCCATATTCTTTGTTCTTAAACAGGTATATAGTTTAAATATAATTTCTAGGGATCTTAAATTCAAAACTTTTAATAACTGCCAGTTTAAGTTGTCCATTTCCTTCTATTTCATTAACAGCAATCATTCCTGTAGCCGCATTGGCAATAATAATAGTGTTAAGACTAGTAGTTCTGGAGGATAGAAATGGTAACTCAAGAAAATGGTACGAAGATTTGTATCAATTTGCCAAAATGCCGCCGCAATGCTGTCACTCAAAATTTGTATTCTGCGCCCATGAACTGACAAACAAATGGATGGAAAGAAAGACCCACAGCCATCAAAATGTCATTTCGCTTCGTCTACTGAAGTCTTTCTGTATCTTTTTAACCTTCAGACCGATAAGATTCAGTGCTGATAACTTTGTAATTATCAGATTACTTTTGCTTTAGTACCTTCTTACTGTCTTCTCATAAAGGAAGCAGATCTTCAATGTTCAGTTGCTTTCTCTATTATCGATCAAATTACGCTGACCAAAATCAAGCAAATTTATTGAGCAGATCTATTGAATCGTTTCAAATTATTTCGTCTACTTTTTCATCAAGATAGAATAGCAACTAGTAACGGTTAAAAGCTGTGTCACTCAGATCA